AATAACACAAAAGCTTTGCCAGTACCAGAACTCTATTGGAAAATTGCGTATGAGCCAATTAAACAAAAGGGAATCGTTCTGATCGTCGTAAATAATCCCTATTTGGAAACATATCAACGGATCTGTGAGGACATTGCTGACAAAATTACCTGGATAAACTGGGATAGAAATAATCAAATAAAAGGTTTTGCCTATGCCTGTACCGTAGATAGTTTTAGAAAGGTGGTAAGTTACTTCCCAGAATTGACTGTGCAAGGCGTTTTGTTGTAAGTTATTAATAACATGTACGTTGAGAATGTCTTGATTATGAGCGTGTAATAAAGAATATATTTGGATTGATATGGACTTGATCAAATGCTAACTCAGAGCGTAGCAAATTCCAAATGCAAAGGTGCTCAATTTGCGAGATTTTGTGCCTACCACAAATTAAGCTGTATTTTAACACCTTTTAGAAGCGATTATTTGATACTAAAAAATCAAATAAAAATTCTACATACACAGAATATTGGGATTGAATTTAATTGTCGTTTAAATTAAATTGAAATATTTTCAACATTAATCACAAGAAAAAAGGGCAAAAAAACAAAAAAGGTTTAAGATAAACCGTTTATTTAAAAGGTTTCTCCACCAAATGTTCACTAAATGCGAGATTAAAATAAGCTTGCATTTAGGACTGTTCACTATTGATAATTGAACCCAGCCCATGCCAAAATAACAGTAATTAAAAAGCAAATAAACCATTTTATAATAATGCAATTACAAAGTAAACTGATATTAATGCGGCTGTGATGTAAATTATTACTTAGCTCGCCTGTTTGGCTCCGTAGCAGTCGGAGGCGGAGGGGGACCCCTTCTATCGAGTTCTTCGAGATAATTCAAAATTAATTGAGTCCTTTCTTGTGGTATATGATCCAAAATCAAAAATCTATAAGAATGATTCTAATTAGCACAGTTTTTGGAAAATTATGGAACATAAGCGAATTACCTTTTGTCATTTTTCAGAATGTCTTCAATTTCCTGCATGTGATTTTGATTTTCTCTGAGCAACGTCAATGATTTGTGTGTTATCAGTTTGGTTTCTTGCAACAATTCTTTAAACTGATTTTTCGCAGTCAACAGTTTATCTTTTAGATAATCCTTAAATTCTCGTTCACACTATTCAATAAATTGATTAAATTCTAACAATAAGGAACTCTCAGTTTTCTATATCTTACCCTTTCGCTGGAAGAGAATTTTGTATATCTTGGATCATCTCTGATAAGCTTTTTTATTTCTTTCCAGTTGCTAACGAGGTTAACCTCAGATGTTTCATCTAGCATTTCCCTGAAGCTCTGACGCTTCTTCTTCAGCAAAGCTTCAACATGTTCATTAAATAGCTTTTCTTTCTGGTCACGAGGCAGAGACTCGGCCAGATCCCACCGATGATCTTTCCTTAGGATTCTCTTTACCTCCTTCCAGCTCAGTTCCGAATTTCGAACCAAGTCAACGAGCAATGCGTTGAAGTGCTATAAGTAAAATGTAGCATAAAAAATACGACATTGAACATAGTCAGGTTTATGTTTACTTGTCTAGCCTCGTCTCTTTTATGTTGCTCCCTTTCCTTCTCCCGATCCCTCATATGAGTAGCCAACGTTCTTTGAACTTCTTCTTCGCGTCTTTTAAGACTAGCTTCTGCTTTAGCCTGACGCTCCTTGTCCTTTTCTTCCTTTGCCTAATTAAAA